TTGTCTTACTGTTAATATTTTATTTGTCTTAGCGTTGATATTTCTTCTGTTTTATCATTAATACTTCATCTATCTTTTCGTTAATATTTTATTTGTCTTATCGTTAATATTTCTTCTTTCTTAGCGTCAATATTTTATTTGTCTTATCGTTAATATTTCATTTGTCTTATCATTAATATTTCAATTGTCTTAATATTTTATTTGTCTTATCATTAATATTTCAATTGTCTTAATATTTTATCTGTCTTATCGTTAATATTTCTTCTGTCTTACTATTAATATTTCATCTGTCTTGTCGTTAATATTTTGTCTTACTGTTAATATTTTATTTGTCTTATCGTTAATATTTTATTTGTCTTATCGTTAATATTTTGTCTTACTGTTAATATTTCATCTGTGTTATCGTTCATATTTTATCTGTCTTCAGGTTAATATCGCTGATCTCAAAAAAAAAAAAAAAAAAAAAAAAAAATTCTGGATCGAGTTTCTATTGTTCAAAAGATGAAGCCAAAACAAATCTACATAACCTACATAGACGCTGTGTGTCTATATAGGCTACTGAAGATTGTTTGAGCTACTGAGGAAAACGTTTTAGCTGAGTAAGCGGAAACCATTTTTTGGCATACATGTTTGATGATTATCACTTTTTGTTTTGTGTTTTGCTGCATATATAGATGAAAGTGGATACATAATTTGTAGTTACTTGCTGCTTCAGACCTAAATATAAAGGGATCCAAGATGTTGGAAAGTTTATGCAGTTATGAAGTGTAGGTATTTTTAAAGCACAAAGTTTTGTATTTTGCATTTTGCGTAGGCCACAGGGAATTTAGTAAGGCCAAATAAATAAATAAGTAACATCTTAAATTATATATTTTTATCAAGGGCCTTTTCAAATATCACCTTTGCTAGAAGAAACCATATTAACTAACTAGCTGTTGTTAATAAAATATATAAAATTATTTTTTTTATAAGATGCAAGTGCATACATAACATGCCAAAAATCTTTTGAATGTTTATCAAATACTCTTTTGCCCACCCAACTAATGCTATATCATCACTGATCTCAAAAAAATACACCACTTTATTTTGTTCTCTACATTATGCAAAA